ATATTACTACTGTTATGTCAAAGTTCAAAGAGAGGAAAAGCCTAGAAAGCAGCACATGCCTCCTAGTATTGTTCATTCATTCACAACAAAGCTCAAGGGGCGGGCCCGGGGGCGGGCCGAGCGGAGCCGCGCTCCGGGATCTGCGGTCGGATCGGGTCGGCGCTCGCTGGTGAAGCCCCGCGGCGTGGAGCTCCGCGACCCTCCGGGCCCACAGGACCTGGTCGACACGCCCTTGGCCAGATGCAGACTCTTTATTAGGGAATAGCTTTCAGTCCCCGACAGCCGCTCCGCACGGCCGCACGCGGGGTCCTCAGCCTTGCCCGGGAAAGACGGCTCTTCCCACGTCCCGGCCCCCGTGGGCGTGGATGGAGCCCCGCGTGGGGGATGGATGGAGCCCCCCGTGGGTGATGGATGGAGCCCCGCGTGGGTGATGGATGGAGCCCCGCGTGGGGGATGGATGGAGCCCCGCGTGGGGGATGGATGGAGCCCCGCGTGGGCGTGGATCAGGCCCCGGCAGGGATGATGGAGCTCCCGTGTGGGTGTAGATCATGCCCCGCGTGGGTGATGGAGCTCCCGCGTGGGTGCGGACTGCGTCCGGGGAACCGGGCAGAGCTGCTCTGTGGCCGACACCCTGCGTCCGGGCGGCGCACAGGCCCTGGGAGGGAGAGCCTGGTGTCCTGGGCAGGCCGGGGCCCCAGGACAGCAGGAGCCTTTCCAGCGGTTCATGCCAAGAGCAGATGCTGCTGAGGTCCAGCCTCAGTCCTGAGCTAAGAGAGGCTGACTGGAAGAGCCGTCCGCGGGAGCCCTGGCTTCAAACTTGCGCGGGCCAGCAGGCGCACTCAGGGTCACCTCCTCTGCACAGGAGGCTGCAGCGCCACCTTTGGGCCATGGGCCGCCTCCTAGAGGAAAAGAGAATGGGTACTTAAAAACCACGTGCCCCAGAAGGCACAACTGAACACCCTGTTTGCACTCCTTAAAACTTGGTTTCTTAGCTTGTCCAACAACACAACGTGGCACCCGCAGGGGCTCAGTAATAACAGCTACAACTGTACAGAGGGTGCTGGAATGGTGGCAATTGCTGAAAAGTTCCCTTACACATTACGAGCAGGCATTTAAGTGACAGCTTCCCATTTCCTTTTCAGGTAATCATCAATGTAAAGAATATCCCCTCTCCCACGGGCCCCCCCAGGTGGGGCGGGGCAGCTCTCTGCTACGCCCCCTCCCCCCAGCTGTGGACCTGCCCTGGAGGCTCACCTGAGGCACTCTGGGAGAGGGCCCTCCAACCTTGGGTTTGACTGGTGGCGCTGGAGGCACAGGAGCTAGCTTGGCCTAGGAGGAGGCAGATGCAGCTGATGGGGTTGGCCGCCTAGTGGGCCAGGTTGTCCCCGGCAGGGGTGCTGGTGGGCCTCTGAGCGCTCTGCTGAGCACTTCCCTCTGGCACAGTCTGGCCACCGGCTCTGCCCAGCCTTCCTCCTTGCCTGGTCTCTCTCTCCCCACTTTCCTCTGTTCTGCCTTCAGGACCCTCCTAGGATGATTTTTGCAACTATGTAAGTCTAGAATTAGTTCAAAATAAAAACTTTTAAACAATAGAAAATCAGGGGCTTGGGCTGGGAAGGTGGCTCCGTGGTAGAGCACTTGCCTTGCATGCATGAAGCCCTGGGTTCGATTCCTCAACACCACATAAATAGAAAAGGCTGGAAGTGGTGCTGTGGCTCAAGTGGTAGAGTGCTAGCTTTGAGCTGAAGAGCTGAGGGACAGGGCCCAGGCCCAGAGTTCAGGCCCCACAACCAACAAAAAAAGAAAGAAAGAAAGAAAGAAAATCAGGGGCTGGGAATGTGGCTCTGTGGTAGAGTGCTTGCCTAGCATTTGTGAAGCCCTGGGTTCAAGCCCTCAGTACCACATAAGCAGAAAAAGCCAGAGGTGGTACAGTGTCTCAAGTGGTAGAGGGCTAGCTTTGAGCAAAAGAAGCTCAGGGACCACGCCTAGATCCTGAGTTCAAGCCCCAGGACTGGCAAAAAAAAAAAAGAAAGAAAGAAAATCACTATTGTGCAAACAAACATTACAGTAACAATTGTGGGGCAAATTCACTGAGGATATTACTACTGTTATGTCAAAGTTCAAAGAGAGGAAAAGCCTAGAAAGCAGCACATGCCTCCTAGTATTGTTCATTCATTCACAACAAAGCTCACTGGGAGCAGCCAGACAACACCACATCATCATGTGTCACCACGGGTCATCTCTGTGTAAGGCACAAGGCCCCCCTGGCCCCAGGGCTAGCCCTTCCTTCCCCAGGTACACATCTGGGAAAGCCTCCATCCACTCCAACCAAATGTCTTGCATTGAGGATGGCAGCGTGGTGCCAGGGTTAGCCCAGGGGCAGGGAGCCCTGCTGGAGGGGAATTCAACCCCAGCTTGATTTGCATGGCTTGGGTGAGTCACATTTTTTAAAGAACTTTCAATTTCCAAAGCCACTTCACAAGGGAAGTATCGGGGTGACTGCCTTATATTGGTGAGGCTGGCTGGTCCCTGGTCTGAGAGATGGCGGGTGTCACCTTACCTGCGTGGGCTTCAGCTTTGGGAGGGGCTTGGCAGGTGGCGGCAGCTGGAGCTGGTAGGGAAGAAGTGGGGAGTTTGAACCCACAGACCAGCCTGCCCACGGCCGAAGCTTGCCAAATCTGTTAGGTTCTGCTCATGTCTTGCCCTCCCTGTAAAGCAGCCGCTTTGCTGGCCTGGGTCTGCAGATTCTGGCCAACTGGCCTCCATTTCCCAAAATGTTTGCATACCTCCAGAACGCTTAGCCCCCCCCGCCCCCCACCAGGGCTCACCTGGTCCGGTGTCTGCTGGGGATAGACAGGGACTGCGGCGGCTGGACTGGACATGGCGGCGGGAGGCTGCAGGGGACAGGGCTGTGGGCTTGGATCTAGGAGCAGGGCTGCGCACACCCCACCCAGAAAGCCTCTCCACACCAGGACCCAGGTTCCACGCCTCTCAGAGAGGAAGGAAGCAAAGTCCCCGTGTGGTGGGGGGGGACCATGCCTGAGCTCCCCATGTGCCATCTGTCCCCATCCCAACCATCAGGAGCAGCAAGGGTCCTTCTTTTCAGAACCCAAGGCTGAACACCCCCAGACCTGCCAGGTCAAAGATCTCAGAGCTCTGAGGTCAAAGGCAGACTCGCAGTGCAGTCCTTGGAAGGCAACCCCTAGCACCCAGGCTGCTTCTCCAGGGGTGACGGCCTGTGCACCGGCTGTGACAGGGCTTCACCAACCCCAGGCACCACACTCTGGGCAGGAGGGTGAGGGACCTGCAGGTCCCATTACTGCAGCTCGTGAACCTAGTGGAGGACAGTGCTCACCGCAGGTGGGGGCCTCTTGGGGACCAGTGTGGGCTTGGGGGGCTGCCTGCTGCAGGTGGAAGCCAGCCCTGGGGGCCCTCGAACGTGCTCCTTGGCTGACATGCCTCTGCTTCTTCCATAGAACAGAGGGTTGGGGAGTCCCGCGGCCTCAGGCACAACACCCCTGGAAGGAAAAAAGAGGCCATTGTCAGGCTGGAGGGATGATTCACACGGGAGAACACCTGCCTAGCAAATATGAGGTCCTCAGCTCGAACCCCAGCACCACCACCACCACGGGAAGAAGACAATTACCTAGCCATGTTCCTGGACAGGCTTTGGGGCTCCTAAACTCAGCCCCTATGGAGCCTAGCTAGGGTTTCTAATCTGCAGACAGCATACAGGCTGCAAGGAATGGTCACGGACAGGCAGGCCCAGCAGGCCAAGAGCACACTGGAGCCTAGCAGAGCACACACGGGCCTGGTTGGGGCTGAAAGGAGTCCAAGCTCACCTCTGGATTTACTACGGCCTATCACCCTTCCCTCAAGTAGACTCCCGAGCCCAGTGGATCCTAGAAACCTCCTCACCATCCAGCCCAGGCCCTAGGCCTGGGGAACCCTGGGTTCTGCCTGGGCCCAGCCCTTCTGCAACACAGTGATTTTTCTTTTTCATCCTCGAACAACAGAGGAAGCCATTTCCTAACAGTTGCAGAAGTTACACCAACACAGGAAATGCGCATCTGGGGGCAGACATATCACAACAAGCATGTCCTCACCTCCTCCGGACCTTGTGGTGGATGATGACACCTGCCAGGGCGACCACGGCGGCCAGCAGCACCAGGGCCACCAGCCCCCAGAGCGGAGGGCTCCCAGGGCCTGGGAGACACAGCCTCACGTCAGCCAGGCCAGGGTGGAGGGCCCGGGAAAGGACGGCCTTTCTGCCCTCTCAGCCATGTTCTGAGCCCACGCCTGGCCCCAGCCCTCCCAGCTCTCCAGCCACGTGGGAGGATGTGGCTTGGGGAAGACGTGAGGCCATCCTCTCTCGGAGGTGAGGCGCGGGCTCTGCCCTGGCCACCTTCAGGTCAGTGCTCGGGGCTGCCAGCCCTCCTTTCCTCCTGTGCCCGGGGCCCACCCCCTCCTGTGCCCGGGCCCACCCCCTCCTGTGCCCAGAACCCACCCCCTCCTGTGCCCAGAACCCACCCCCTCCTGTGCCCGGGGCCCACCCCCTCCTGTGCCCAGAACCCAC